ATTTCGAAGATAGATAGATATTATAAATTCTTTTACTCCGTTCAAGGGCAGGAGCAAACGAACCTGATGTTTTAATTTTTTGGGCATAACCAAGGTGGTATTAAAAAGATTAAGGAAAATAGCTTCGCGTAACGGTTTCGCACAGCCTTCCTCGCCTTCCTTCTTAAGCAATTTTACTGAATTTTCTAAATACCACCTTGTTTAAGACTAAGTGAAATCAAAAATTAATAATATAACGTGTTAAGCTTAATTAACAGGCAATTTTGTTGAAATATAAGACTTATACCGAATAATACTATTCTTCAATCAAGTCTTACTATTGTTGTAACTGTGTAAGCTGCTACACTGAAGCTAAAATCTAAAGTTTGAACCTGAATTTTCATATATGATTTTCGTTTTAATCTGAGAAAGTACGTTAACTCGTCAATTTTTGCAGCTCTGCAAATCTTTGTAACTGGACGAGAGATGGTTGACGGTTGGGCTAGGTACCGTATCGTGATCGAGAACGTCTTCAAACGGGGGATGCGAGGCCGACGTGGTGAAACCTCGCTCTGGATGTCGTCACATTCAGTTCTGTGCAAATGCCCGAAAATTCGTGTTGGACGTCGTTACATTCTTCTCGGTGAGTCAGTAAATCTTCAGTCTTCAGTGCGTTTCGAAGTGTGAACATGCGTAGAGCGATCGAGTCGTGAAGACAAATCGTGAAAATATGTAAATTCTTGTTGTCACATCGATTACGAGCCAAGTGCGAAGAACTGTCTTCGCCCGCTCCGACACATTCACTCGGATCTCTTGGGAGAACGAAATTCATCAATCTTTATGAGCCTTTCCGGATCGGGGTGCGAACAGCCTCGAATGTTGCAATATCTGGCTTGTAAAAGCAATGTTTTACTTTTTTCGACAAAATATTTCGTGAATAGATGTGAAAATGGGTAGAAAAGCCAGTAATCCTACAAAAAGCGCCGAGATGAGATCTTGCTCTTGCTTTCATTTTCTATCCAGGAGCCAAAAAACCCTTCTTTTCAGGAAAAGACGATGAAGACAATAATAGGCAAGGATATGTAGTAAATGGTAAGACAGTTTTGACCGAATGGGACGAAGATACTATGGATAAGGTGAGAAACGATGATTATTATCAAAAACTGGAATTATTACATAGAGGTCCAAAAAAAGTGAAAAAAAAGTGAAAGAGAAGTGAAAGAAAGTGTATAATTCGAATTGATAGACTTTGCTGGTCGTCTAGGATAAATCAGTGCTAAAGTCTTTGAAGGTTTCTGAGTAAGCACTTTGAAAACTAGTGCTTAAGTCTTTTGATAAGCATTTGATTAAGTATTTCGAAAGTTAGTAGTAAAGTATTTGAATAACTATTCGAAAATTAGGGGATAATTATCATAATGATTTCTTAATTCCAAATTGTTAGCGGACCAAAAAGAGAAAGCGAAGCAAGTGTATGAATCAAAGTAAAAGACTTCGCTAGTTGATTAGAAAAAACTAGTGGTAAATTATTTGAATAAGTAAGTAATACTACCATAGAGAGTCTAATATTTTTTGAGTTTACACTGTAGTGGTCTATAAAAGTATGAAAATGCACCCCAGGAGGTCGCGAATATTCCTAGAGATATTAATTATAAGAATTACTTATCAAATAATAATATGGATCATGATGCATAGCTTTTTTATGCTTGTAAATAATCAAAATGACTTTCAAAAGTTTCAACTTTCCTCTTCAAAAGTTTAAATAAGTCTTGTAGAATTTTTTTGCAAAATTGTATTCTTTTCAGGTAATCCGTTTCGCCAAGCGAGATAAGCTCGGTCAGTGCACAGGAGTTAGAAGATACTAGTTCCATCGAAATTAGAGTTCAAGCACCGTACAATCCTCAATTCACATATTTCATGCTATTTTATCCTCATTATATACAAATCCAGAATCAATTCCGAGTGAATTCCATGCACTCAGTCATCATTTTGATTTTTGCTGCCATATCATAGATATCATTTGTTGTTTCCCTCATACTACGCTTTAAACAGCGGAAATTTTTTTCATTAGAAATTAGAATACAATATTTTATTTGTAACAATAGAGTCATGAATGTAAATCCGCAGTTATGCGTTGATTTTGCTAACGTTCAAAGTATTAAAAAAAAGGTTGTGAATTCTTTTTCTGTATCAAATGTGTCATCATCTCATTTTCAAACAATTTTTACCCTTTCTTTTCTCGTGTACAGTGGTGTGTTGTGTTTGTTACGAATTTGATAAATATGTTCCCGAATAGTAGTCTCGTAGATGAATGTATGTATCATCGTATGTGAATAACTCTATCCTATTAGGGTAAAAATCATCCAAGCGAAAGGTGCTGGAAAGAATTCAAGAGCTTACGTGCTTTTTATAGTATTTTTTGCATGTTGTGTATCTTACCTTTGGTGAAAAACCTATAGTTTTTTGGCCATTATGGCAGAAAAAAATGAGCTAGTGTATGAGGTGAAATGAATTTGCAAAGAGCTGGAGAGAATCTTTCGGCAATCTTTCTTGAAATCTGTTTGCTATATCAAATAGCCAGTCATTGTAACATAGCTAGATCCAACATAATTATTTTAGAAAAGTATTTGTCATTTGCATGAAACAGTTCAAAATTTTATTTTAAAGAAAGCGAAGGAGAACAAGTAGCAGAACATCATGAATGTCTTTCCGCTAATACTTTGGTTAGGATTTTGGGATTCCTGTGTTGAGAATGCTTCGAAAAATTTATTCTATCCATGTAATGGGTACTGGCGATAAGTTTCAAAATATTTTTATATTTCGAGGAGCTGTCTTGCACTTTTTAACTGCTTATTACACATACAAACATTGGCATAAAGAGTTGTTTGTAAAGAAAGTTTTTTTATTTCTTAAACTAAGTGCGAAAAATTTCCTTTCAACTATGGAAAAATTTTAAGTTCCCCAGTGTTCAAAAAGTCCTAACATAATTTGAATCTATCCAATGGCTTCTATGACTGTGTCATTTACGCAAATTTCCTTGTCTCACATTATTCCCTTTATTCTGACATTTAGTCAGCAATAAAACTTACCCCGATTCAGTTCCTAGTTCTGCATGTGTTTCAGACATTTAGGTATACTTGCATTTTCAGGGATATGAAATCCTAATAACTGACAATTAAAAACAAGTAAGAAAAGTAAGTATCACGCAATCAAAAGTGTGCTGCGAATTCACCGATTTTATGGGCGTATTGAAAGGATTTGTTGTAGAATCAATCTCCAAGATTTTCTGTTTCACGCGACACTTAATTTCGAGATGGGGGAGCCGTCACGGTTCGTATCAGCAGGTGATTGAGAATACTATAAAACCCATTATGATTTGCATAATGCTGGCTAATCCCACCATACGCAAACATCATGTCATTTACACCTTCACCCGTTATCCTAACTCATATTTTTTTCAAAAATGTCTTCTCGGAGACGAAAGTGACAAAATTGAATTTTGTCAAGGCTTCTTCGTATTCGCAGAGTGGTCAGCTGGTACAAAGATCGTCTCATTAACGCTGTGCACTAGGTACTAGTGCAAATTTTCGTCGCCGAACTCCCTAGAGTCGAAAGAAACGTGGGCAAAAAAATTGGCTATCTGTTAGTTTGTTATAGGAAAGAGGGAGCGGGCTCAGGGTCCGGCTCGAGAGTCGGACTTTAAGGTTTTTGAAAACGAAGCCCCCTGACTTTCGAAAATCCTACGAATTCCCCCTTGATCCTTATTTAAAAACTATTAACTTAGGAAAAGATGAAAATAAAAAAGAGTCACTAGTCTGAAAAGAGAAACGTGAAATGAGTGTGGAAATTCGAAGTGGAGCGGAATTATGCGCATGCACAAGAGCTTGGCATTAGAGCGTTATATCTAGCAAAGGGATTTATGAGTAAATTACGGCAAAAAAGAAACGAAAGCAATGATGTAACAATGTCTTCATGCTAGGGACAAATTCTTGACGGGGAATCCGTCTGGGATAGAAAATCCGAAACCTATGTGAACTTACAAGCTACGTGCTCCATACGATTTCATATCGTATGGTAGCCGTCTGGGCGGACTAATTTTGAAAAAATCTTACTTAGCATAAGATTTCCATACTTCTTACATAATTCTTCCGCAAATAATATCCTATGTCTACAGTTCAAGTTTGGTATCGTATGCATATCTCCACGCTGTAAACAAGTAATTTCTTGATTTCGGCTTCACTTTCAAATTGCGCGCGCTTTTCTCAAGACACGATGGAGCGCGTCAGTCGTGTGCCAACCTGCCTATAAAGCTTGTGCTTGTTTCAACTGCACTTTTGGCACTACAGAAAGTGTGTTAAACTGTCTTACACACTGTATGTGCATAACCGGACCCCGCAAAAACGAGATTTCCTTTACCTTCTGTCCCAAAAACGAAGTCCAGCCTGCTTCCATTCGATCTGCGCCTGGCCCTGAGTGGGCTCTAAATGTTCATTTTGTTCGGTGGATGCTCTTTACTAACAGGTAGAAGAATAAAACTGCACCTTTATTTGATACAATAAGACCGGACTAGTGAAAAGGAGGTTTCGGCACAAAAAATTTGACATCAAGGAAAGATCACAGAACGAGGACAAAGCTCATTTGGGGTGATAACAACTTTCAATTAGTTGAAATACAAAGGTGTTATGAAGATAGCTAAGCTGCACATAACGAGATCTTCTGGGAGAGAAAGGGTGCAAATAAATTTCTATTCAATAGAGGAAGTGAAAATACTTTATTTGGGCAGTAGGTGGCACTTTTTGATGAGGACAATGTTTAGGCTTAAATTAGCAGTAATACAGAATAGAGTCAATGTAGGGTCAAGAACAATTTGGACTTTTCCATAAAATCTATCATAAACATTATAATGGTTCAATAAATCAATTTTAGAAATGTTTGACACTGTTCGAGAAGGTAAAGGCACATAAAAGAGCAATCACACAAGAAAAATATGAAAATATTGCATTTTACTTGCAATTTGTTAGCTCTTTTGTGATATTTTTTATAGACCAGAAAATTCGGGCAGTTTTTTGCAATAGTTAGTGCTTCAGAAAACTGTGCATAAGGCATACGATGGCAGAAATAGAGATCTTCATCTAAAGAAAAGTGTCATGAGCCGAACTCGTAGTGCTTGTTGGATGTGAGAATTTTCGTGCTGATTGTCGGCGATCGCCAGAAAGTAACGCTGTGTACTGATTAGGTTCGTCTGCCGTTGACCCGTACAGTCGATTTGTACAATTTCCGAGTGATCTGAAATGAAACATCTTTTCTGAAAAAGCGGAAAAAAAGTATCCTGGGTGTTGGCTATTGTGCACGGCTTGCTCACTGCGAACTACGGTACTTTGCTTAGATGCGCGATCGCTTGCGAGGAGCAGGGTGATTGGACGAGTTTATCGCTCGTCCTCAGGTATATTAAGTTGGCTTGGAAGTTCTCGGGCATTTTTAGGCCACTGCTCTTTCTCAAAATATTGCAGGTGCTGCGAAATAGCTGTACTCTTTCTCGCCTGTGCTAATATACAGGATGTCTAGAAAAAAATGTGCCTACAGCTTGGTGGTTCAAACTTTCTTCTCATAAGATCTTTGGAGAACCTTTAGTCACTATTTTACAGAGCTGGCCTCAAATTATTTACAATATTGAGGAAACCAATGATCACTCCTGAGGATTACGGTACAAACAGCATGTTCATAATCATAAAGCTTAGAGTAAATTCTTCTTAGAAGTTAAACAGTTTTGCAAGCGTTTTTGGCTGTGAAAAGCTGAAAATGAATTCGAAGTTCCTACCGTAATCCTACAGTAAGTGATCAGTGATTCGCTCTCTGTAGATCTAAGCTGAACCCGGCTCTACAAAATGGCACCTAAAGCTTTTTCAAAGGCGCTAAGACAAGAGAGTTTTTGACAAACAGACAGCTAAATTTGAAACACACTGTAGTAATTTGAAGGAGCCTAATATCAATAAGGAAAGTATCATCAGATGATTTTAATAATATTTTCGATAACTGCAAAAACATAAAGGGCGAGCGACCACTCGTCCATCTATGCGGCATGGTTGCATGACTCCCGTAGCGAATCTGCAGCCGTGCAAAACGGCCTTCTCCCACTTTTCCTGCAAGGGGTTGAAAATGTAAAAAAAAAATGAAAATGGTAGAAAAATTCGTTATGGCATAGCCCGGATTAGAGGGAATCAAGCTGTGTAAGAAATAATTAACATGCAATGGGATGATTCTAAAGTTAGCGCTTTGTTAGCACATGCAGGTGGCGCTTAAGAAAATCTAATAAAATAAAAGCTCAAGCTGATTGCCTAGAGGGTTAATTAGTCTGAAGCGCACTATGGCTTACCAGCTGTATCAATGTGAACTTTCTTGCGACTTTGCCCTGATAAAGTGATTAGAAAAGAACAACTAGACGAAAATTTTGAAAACTTACCGCTTGTTCAGCATATTTTCGCCTTCTTGTTTTCGAACGTTTTTATGTTTTTCGAAGAGAATTATCCATAATTTTGGTGAAAATATGCACACCAACGCAACATTTGCTGACATTGATATGGAGATACATAACGATGTAGTTTGGATCTGAAATATAGAGAGCAAATTGAGAAATTCTTTCCCCTTTTCTATTGAAGGGAAAGATATCGGTGGTACTATCACACTTGTATCGCGAGTTGAAGATGCAGAATTCCATTTTTTCGAAATAAATCAATTAATAATCAATTTATAGCCCTTGCCTGAAAGTCACTTCCAGTTCCGAAAAAGAAGAATATCCAACTCAGCCAGACTACACATGTAGTGTACATAGAAAATCCAATGAATTTTGTTTCATTGAAGTTTTCCGGCACCTGAACAGATTGTTTTATGACAGCTATGGCCTCGGGCATAGTTAAGGCGATTTCGTATCTTCCCAACAGGACAACTGCTACAAGTTCATTGCATGCCGATTATCCTGCTTTCTGTTGTGATAGTTTTCCGAAACGACTAATCGTGAACAACTATCAAGACTGAAATGCAAGATGACCGCCATGCAATGAAACTCGTAACAGTTGTCCGGAATCGCAAGGCCACTAAATCGCGCGAACTGTGCCCGAGGCCTATGAGTGGGAAAGAAGCAGATGGATAAAATTATTATTAAATTCTCTTACTTTTCTAGTCTTCACTGCATACACAGTACAGGCGATGATGAGAATTCCATCGTAGGCAAGTGAGTAAAGGAAATGATGATCGGGTACGTTACAGGTTAGGACCACTTGATCTCGAGTTGGGTAATCATGCCGAGAGCCTGAGAAATAGAATTCGGGAAATGTTGGTAAATTTCTAGGATGCATCAAAAAAGAAAAATAGAGCCTTCGGAACAAATTGTGCTATAGGAAAGATATCTTTTAGTCGAAACACAATGTATTTTGAAGGATATCCCTTGAAAGTCAGAAGAAATTGGCCAGGAAAAATTTGCGTCTTGGAATTTAGTAGAAATAGTAAACTTCCTAGCACACATCAAAAACGAAAATTAGAAAGTTTGGAGCAAGTTGTGCTATGAAAAAGCTATCTGTTAGTATGATGCACTGTATCAAATATGTAAGTAGAGCTTAGAGGAAGAGATTTCGTTAATCAAAAGTTCTGCAGTTTCTTGAACATAAATCTTGTGCAGTTGCTGCAGAGTGGGGAACTTATCATTTATAGGTAATTCAATTCACACATTGAAGCATGTATTTTTATACCGGAACAATTTTTTGGTATTCTGGGCATTTTGTAAAAAACAGAGATTAATTTTCAGATGGAAATCGTCAAAATCCAGAAAAGTTGAAGCGAAAAAAAGAGGTTCCTAAGTGCAAAGAAATATCTTTCAAAAAACCTACCAGGAGGCACGACGAATAACCATATTATACTTCCAATTAGTTGAACACCAGCAAGCATACTTGTCATGACAACCTGAATTTACATTTTTATCAGGGATTAATGAATAAAAAGTCACAGAAAATGTATTTAGATTGTCTACTATGTAGATAGACTACTTAAACTGATTAACCTGTGATAATGGCGAGATAAACAATGGCCGTTGCGCTGAAAGAGTAGCTTGGGAGAATATTCTGGCAATTCGATTTGTCTTCACCAACATAGCTGCATACAGACATGAGAAAGCAAATCCAATACCTTGAAAACGGTAATTTAACGAAAACATATATAGCGGAGAATTTTCTTGCTGATATTGTGAATTTTTGCCTGTATAGTTACCACAAAAACTACAGATAATCTAGAAAAAAACGTAAAGATGTGGCTAGATAAGCGACGCAGAGAATGAATGAGTTGCGTCCGCTACTGCGTCGCGGTTTTTGACGGGCGCAATATGCAACCATCAGACATTACTGTCGTAGTAAGCTTGTGAATCCGTCGGTAACTATATTATGTATGATTTCTGCTTTGTAAATGAAACTCACAAACAACATGATAGATAGAAAAATTGTAGAGACAATTTTTCCACACCATCTTACATGTATACGAAAGAAAAAAAAGTTGAAAACTTTCAAAAAAAAA